AGGTTGGACAGTCATTCAAAAATACCTGCTTCGCAGACAAGTCTGTCAGCTATTCTAGGCCTGTAGGTTGATGATGGGTGCCTCAACATTACAGACGAAACTTAGTTTTGGACGTTGTTTGCTCTGCACTTCCTGTTTACTGTTGTATCATTCTCAGGTCTTTGATGGGGTAAGACTAAATAGTTGTAGTTAAAAATTTCCTTAGTCTTGATAGAAAGTAAGTTAGGTACAAAACTTTGGATTCATCATGATAGGATAGATAAAGGTGTCTTTTCTCTTAATTTGCCAAACACAAATGGACTGGACATTGTGAATGTAATTCTTATATGATAATTGTTCTTATTATATATAATTTGTTAAAGTTAATACCTTTCCTTTCTATTTAGACAATACCTGATAATTGTTCTTATTGTATATAGTTTTAGTATGTTAGAGTTAAAACCTTTTTATTTAGACAAGAGAGAAACGTTGTATAATAATCTTTTTTATTTTTGTATGCTGTGAAGATGTGTCACTCTGTTTGGTTTAATAAAAAGCTGAACGGCCAATAGCTAGGCAGAATCTCTGGGCAGAGAGGATGCTGGGGAGAAGAAAGTGGACACCAGGAGATGCAGAGCAAGCAGGATGTACAGTAAGGAGATAAGGTAATAAAGCCATGAGACAGAAAATAGAATTAATAGACATAGGTTAATCTAAGTTACAAGAGTTAGTTAGAAACAAGCCTACACTAAGGCCAAGCCTTCATAATTAATAATAAGAGTCCATGTCATTTTCTTGTGAGCTGGTGGTCCCAAAAAGACAGTCTATTTATAGCACTTTTATCTCTAGACCCAGTAAACTTATTTCCATCTGCTTCCTAACACGATTGATAATGCAGTATATGGGTCTCCGTGACTGCCACAGCCAGCAGTGTAATGATTCATGGGAGATAAAGAGGTAGTTTAGTTCAACATGACTAGCTGATGTTGGCCTATGTAAGCACAGCACAATTTGGTGAAAATTTTTCTAGTGATAATTAACTCAATCTATCTGTACAATAAAGCTGAAGACATGACTACAGCTTTGTAAAGTTCACGTGACATCTTCCATAAAGATAGGTTTCATAGATTGTCAAGCTCATGATAAAGATCTGAGGAGGATCTGGCTCAAAGGTCATCAGGCTATTAACTATGTCTATTCCAAGCCTTCTGGACAGATAATAGGTTGTGCATCCTACCCTTTGAAGAGACAACACTGTGGTTTAAGTAACATTCCTGGTTCCCCTTGTGCTTATCTGTGAGTTCAATAACTGCCATACCTCCTGCAATGTGGGGACTTTATTGTTCTGTGTAAAGATATGTCACTGATATTGGTTTAATAAAAACCTAAATGGCCATTAGGTAGGCAGGAAGTATAGCAGGACTTCTGGACAGAGAGAGATCTGGGAAGAAGAAAGGTGAAGTTACCAGCTGGACACAGAGGGAGCAAGACATGGAAAAGCCACAAGTCACTTGGCAACATGTAGATGAATAGAAATCAGTTAATTTAAGTTAGAAGAGCTAATGAGACAAGCCTAAGCTATAGGCTGAGTTTTTTTTAATATTTATTTATTTATTATGTGTACAGTGCTCAGCTTGCATGTATGCCTGCAGGCCAGAAGAGGGCACCAAATCTCTTTACAGATGTAAGTGAGCCACCATGTGGTTGCTGGGAATTGAACTCAGGACCTTTGGAAGAGCAGTCAGTGCTCTTAACCGCTGAGCCATCTCTCCAGCCCCTAGGCTGAGTTTTTATAATTAGTAAATCTCCGTGTCATTTTTTGTGAGCTGGCAGCCCAAAGAAAACTCTGTCTATACTTTATTCCAGTTCTTTCTCTGGCTAGGAACTTTATCAATTTGACATAACCTAGAATTGCTTAGGAAGAAAGTCTCAGTAAGGGATTGTCTACATTGGGTTGGCTTGTGAGCATGCCAGTAGGGGATCGTCTTAAATTAGTTCATGTGGGAAGACCCACCCCAGTGTGGGCACCACCATTCCCTGGGCAGGGTATCCTGAACTGTATAAGAGTGGGAAAATCAAGCTGAGCACAAGTGAGTATGTGTGCAGTCATTTCTTTGGATTCTTCACTGTCAATATGATTAGTTGTTTGAAGCTTCTGCCTTGACTTCTCCACAATGAGAGATTTTAACCTGAAACTGTAAGCTGAAATAAACCCCTTTCTCTCCTAAGTTGCTTTCAGTTGGGGTATTGTAGCACAGCAACAGAAATGAAAGCAGAAAAGATCAATCATACATTGCCCAGGAAACCTTCTCTATGACAGATCCCTTGGTCTCAAGAATATTAGTTTGAAGGCCAAATGAAATCCCAAAACTTATCCCTGCCTTTCTGGCCAACCTATTAAATCAGAAGTGAAGCCACGATAGGTAGAATTAACAGGACATTAAAGCCATTCTTCCAGTGCCCTGTATAAACAATGGTTATGGTTGAATGCCCGCTCAACAAAAGAAAATCATGTTGGAATTCTGTTGCATCAGGCTGATCATGGGAGGTGGAGCCTTAAGGAGACAACAGGTCATGGTTTTTTGTTTTAGTGTTCTCATGGCTCTAACAGAATGCCTGACATAATAAAGAGGGAAATATTTATTTTTGACTCACTGCTTCAGAAGGATCAGTCCATCCAGATGAGATATCATGTGGTTTTCCTGGGAAAATAACAAGAAATCATTGTTTACCAGATAGGGCATTGCCAACAGACCAAAGAATTGATTCCATCCAAGTCCACTTTGGTGCACCAATGAAAACTGGCAACCAGGCAACGGGCTATCAAAGGTTTGTATAGTACAGATTGCCCCATGTGTGCTGGATATTGTCAGATTCTACTTAATTGTATTAGCAGGCTGATCAGCAATTCATCATAGAACAGAAGTGTAAGCAGAGAACAAGTCACGTGTAAGCAGATCACAGGGTATGTGCATGTATGTCAGCCATGGGTGGGTCAAACACTACCTCAGCTGTACCAGCATGTCTCCCTCAGCTCAAACCTGTAGCTTCATGAGGTAGTTCTCTGCAACCAGCTGTTGGGGGCAAAATACTCAATCCCGACTCCCATGTGAGTGTTAGCTTACTGTGTCAATACTAGCCACTGCCACACATCTTAGGGGTGACCCTAAAGAATGGTGAAGGGAATCCTTCTAATATACGAAGCTATGCTCAATTTTGATTCATTCTGTATGGAGGGAAAATGGGCTGATTGACATACTCTTTTTTTTTCTCTCATGGTTTTTTTTTTATTTGAGTTACAAACATGATTGAATTACATGACAA